GTGAGGGGTGCGCCAAAATGGGCGGGGCCGCCATGCGAACCCTGCCACTGAGGCCTTCGGTGGAGCTCCCTATGGGGCCACGAACCGTGTGAGGGGTGCGCCAAAATGGGGCGGGGCCGCCATGCGAACCCTGCCACTGGGGCCTTCGGTGGAGCTCCCTATGGGGCCACGAACCGTGTGAGGGGTGCGCCAAAATGAGGCGGGGCCGCCATGCGAACCCTGCCACTGGGGCCTTCGGTGGAGCTCCCTATGGGGCCACGAACCGTGTGAGGGGTGCGCGAAAATGAGGCGGGGCCGCCATGCGAACCCTGCCACTGAAGCCTTTAGTGGAGCTCCCTATGGGGCCACGAACCGAGTGAGGGGTGCGCCAAAATGGGGCGGGGCCGCCATGCGAACCCTGCCACTGGGGCCTTCGGTGGAACTCCCTGTGGGGCCACGAACCGTGTGAGGGGTGCGCCACACTGGGGCGGGGCCGCCATGCGAACCCTGCCACTGAGGCCTTCGGTGGAACTCCCTATGGGGCCACGAACCGTGTGAGGGGTGCACCAAAATGGGGCGGTGATGGGAGGGGGAGGAGGAAGGGAGGAGGAAGGAGGAAGGAAGGAACGCGGGGCACCGTCTCTTCAAAACGAAGACCCAACACCACAGGATGGTTGGGAATGAAGGCAATTAGAAGTTCGACGATGACCCGCTCGGATTGCAAACATGAAATGCGGGCCCCATAGGGAGAGGGCTGCCGCCTGATACTTCCTCGCAGTTCACTCACAGACGAAACTCCCGCCTGAGACTTCCCCCATATTCAGACCTCGGAAACCGAACAATGACGACAACTACAGGTTCGAAGATGACCCGCTCGGATTAAAAAAACATTATCCTGGCGAAGGACCCAACCATATGCAAACGTGAATACCGCAGGGCAGGTGGGACGAAACAAAAGGAATTCCCAATGCGGCCACGAACCGTGTGAGGGGTGCGCCACACTGGGGCGGGGCCGCCATGCGAACCCTGCCACTGAGGCCTTCGGTGGAGCTCCCTATGTCCCTGCGGGGCCACGAACCGTGTGAGGGGTGCGCCAAATGGGGCGGGGCCGCCATGCGAACCCTGCCACTGGGGCCTTCGGTGGAGCTCCCTATGGGGCCACGAACCGTGTGAGGGGTGCGCCAAAATGGGCGGGGCCGCCATGCGAACCCTGCCACTGGGGCCTTCGGTGGAGCTCCCTATGGGGCCACGAACCGTGTGAGGGGTGCGCCAAAATGGGGGCGGGGCCGCCATGCGAACCCTGCCACTGAGGCCTTCGGTGGAGCTCCCTATGGGGCCACGAACCGTGTGAGGGGTGCGCCAAAATGGGGCGGGGCCGCCATGCGAACCCTGCCACTGGGCCTTCGGTGGAGCTCCCTATGGGGCCACGAACCGTGTGAGGGGTGCGCCAAAATGGGCGGGGCCGCCCATGCGAACCCTGCCACTGGGGCCTTCGGTGGAGCTCCCTATGGGGCCACGAACCGTGTGAGGGGTGCGCCAAAATGGGGCGGGGCCGCCATGCGAACCCTGCCACTGGGGCCTTCGGTGGAGCTCCCTATGGGGCCACGAACCGTGTGAGGGGTGCGCCCAAATGAGGCGGGGCCGCCATGCGAACCCTGCCACTGAAGCCTTTAGTGGAGCTCCCTATGGGGCCACGAACCGTGTGAGGGGTGCGCCAAAATGGGGCGGGGCCGCCATGCGAACCCTGCCACTGGGGCCTTCGGTGGAGCTCCCTATGGGGCCACGAACCGTGTGAGGGGTGCGCCAAAATGGGGCGGGGCCGCCATGCGAACACTGCCACTGGGGCCTTCGGTGGAGCTCCCTATGGGGCCACGAACCGTGTGAGGGGTGCACCAAATTGGGAGGGGGAGGAGGGGGGGAGGAGGAAGGAGGAAGGAAGGAACGCGGGGCACCGTCTCTTCAAAACGAGGACCCAACACCACAGGATGGTTGGGAATCAAATGCGGGCCCCATATGGAGATGGCTCCCGCCTGAGACTTCCTCGCAATGCGCTCACAGACGAGCCTCCCATCTGATATTCCCCCATATTCAAGCTGGCGTATGAGTGGGTGAGTGAGTGAATGACTGAATGAGTGATGATGCTGAGGATGATACAGCAGATGATGAGTGAGTGGATGAGTGAGTGTGTGATCGAGTGATGGTCAAGGTGATCAAGATGGTCTGTGTGTGAGTGAATGCGAGTGTGAGCGAGTGTGTGCTCCTGTGTGTTCCTGCGCGGGGAGTCCAAAGGAAACAAGAACCCCACTTTGGATGCGGGGATATATATATATATATACAAGACTGCATTGGCGCTTCGCGCCATGCACCTTGGTTCTTAAAGCTCGGCATGCCGGATAACCAAATATAGCGATGATTCATTGTTGCCGTTTGCGCCATCGTCGTTATAGTAATGTTATGTATTATCCTTATACTTCCTCTCCTCTTACTCGTAATCTTCCTTGTCTGCGAGCCACTCCTTGTCCTCATCCCCAGTTTTTATTGCAGGGGCTCCTCTTTGGAGGTGTTCTTGGGCCCCTCTCAAAAGCTTTTTGGGGACCTCTGGGGGCCTCCTGGGCGCCTTTTGGGGGCCTCTGGGGGCTTCTTGCGGCCACCTTGCTACCAACCACGGTCTCCCTGAACGACCGGGTCACGATTTGGAGTGCTTCGGGAGGCGTCTTGGGGCCATCTGGGGCTGTCAGCGGGGCTCTCTTGGGGCCATCTTGCGGCCCTGTTGGACCATATTGGAGCTCTTTTGGACTGTCTGGAAGCCCTTTGACACCGTTGTGGGAGGATTTTTGGGGCCTCTTCGGCGGACTCGGACGCACGGAATACCGAAGAACCGAATGTCCAAAAATTCAATTAAAAACTAAAGGAAAGTGTTGTTTTTTGCACTTGGAGGACCTCTTGGGGGTCTTCTTTGGGTCGTCTTCGGGCGTCTTGGGGCTGTCTGGGGCCGCGTGGGGCTCTCGCGGGGCCGTTTGGCCGCCCTCCTGACCGCTTTGGGCCCGCTGGCAAGGCCCGGCAGGGGCGTCCAGGAGGCCCGGAAGGCCCGAGGGACCCATTGCAAGGCGTCCAGGGGGCCCCAAAAGCGCCAGATCCCGGGGGTCCGATTTTCCGGGGGGGGGGGGGTTCCCACCCCCCCGGATTGTAAAAATATAGAAAAGGGTGTGTGTGTGTATATATATACATATATATAATTTAAAAACTCCAAAATAATCAAAAATGCTAAACAGCTCGTCCCCAGACTATGTTTTGACTATGTTTGAACATTCCTCTTGTAGAGGGACAGGCTCGACTTAAGGCTAAGCCAAACGTCCAGACCGACATCGGGAAGCAAACAAAGTCGGCCACCCATCTTTGGAGCGGGCAGAGAGCGCACATCCCCCGCCCGTGCGATGCGGGCAAACTATCGAAATCGAAGACCAACATCTCTTATGACACACACACACGTGCGCACACACAGACACAAACACACACACACACACACAAACACACGCACAAACACACCAACACACGCACACATACATGCACGCACGCACGCACGCACACATACACACTTGTCACAGATTTGTACTTCGACACGCTCATGACGCATGACGGCAGTAAGCGGGTTACGTAAGCCAAGGCAGGATACGCGCATACCAAATATACCACCTTGTGTTCTAGTGCGCGCGAAGCTGGCAACCTTGTTCCAGTCCAAACAGGACCTCCGAGCAGCAAAGACGGACCGGGCAAGAACAGGAAACGCGGGAACAAAACGAGAGCGCAGACAGGCAGCAGGGGCAGGGGGCGGAGAAAAAAAAAGGACCTGGACGGCATGCCACAACGGCGCCTACACCTTCGGGGAGCCCGGCGAGCGCCCAAACAAGGAGGTCCTAGGCCCAGTCGAACACGCCGAAGGCGCGACAAGGGCCGGCCGAAACACGGCGACAAGAAAGGCAACGGCAGCAGCAAGCGGGAGGGAAGGAGGGGAGAAAAGCAGAACAAAGGCAGCTGGCTGGGCAACCGGTAACCTATGCGCCAAACAAATCGTGTATCTGCTGCAATCGATTCGCAGCGCGAGGACGGTGTCGGCGAGCAACGTCCGCGAAGACCATTAGCGCCATGGAAGCCGCCAGCAACGTGGTCCCCACCATAGCACATACACAAACACACACACACACATTTAATCTAGCCCGCAGAACACACACTCACCCTCGGAGCCCCCCACGCACAAACACACATACACTGAAACAAACAACATACACAAACACTTAAAATCACACACGAAGGCGCATAGGGGCAGAGATACAGACACATGCGGAAGGGGCGACTCGAATGCCATCTTCTCATGAGGCCAAGTGAGTTCACAGCCAATGCAACCAAGAGCAATACAAACCACCCTACGCAGAGAGAGAGAGAGAGACAGAGAAGGCATTACTGCGCATGTTTGGTATGTTTACGCTGGTGCAGTCGGCATACGCCGCTCATCTGATAACTCAACCCCTGATCCCAGTCGTCAACTCCGCCTCCTGCATCCGTTGGCGGGTGCAGCCAGCGAATGTCATGCGTTAAGACTTGAAGCGCGTTGTAGTCCAACTTCGCTCGCGCTCAGCGCGGAAGAGAAGCATGACTCGAGTCGCCCCCTCACGAGCTCTCTCAAAAGCGGCCCTGGGCCCCCTTCCTGGCATCCCGACCAGCGCCTCGAAAAGAATCCAGCAGCACCGACAAGGATACGCTACGGACCGCAAAAACTAAAGCACCCATCGCAATAAGTATGGAGCTACCCGACAGCGGCAAGTGAATGTTGTACCAGATCTTTCTCCAAGTGCCCACTGACGAACCACAAGCGATCTAGGGCCCACCTTGAAGGGGAAGGACTTTCGTGAGACGAGTCATGACCCCTTAGACAATCGCCTCGAGACCAACTTTTGCGCTGCCGCGTGCTGAAGGCAAGGTTCGTCAAGCACAAGCCCAGGACACTTCAGACACAACGTAACTGCCTAAACAAATCGTGCAAACGCACGTGACGTTGAGGGAGCTGGCTTTAAGCCGGAGCCCCAGAACACGCGGGTGGCGAACTGTTTGTTGGCCACTTGGCCAGTGGCCACAGCCCAGCGAACTCCTGTGAACTTTCGCCCAAGCCCAGCACACCCCGAGACAATTTCCTTCTCGAATCAGATTCTGTCGAGTCGGGGGCTCGAGAGGCCAGCAACTAACGGAGCAAGCGGCCACAACCTCTGTTCCACCGACTCGATCTGGGAAAACAAATTAGCCTGGCGAAGGACATGACCATATGCAGTTGTGAATACAGTCGTTGTATGCACCGCATTCGGATGAGCTCCCTATGGGGCTACCAAACGTGTGAGGGGTGTGCCAAAATGGGTGCGGCGGCCGCATGCGAACGCTGGCATTTGGGCCTTCGGTGGGACCCCTATTGAGCCACGAAACATTTGAGGGGTGTGCCAAAATGGGTGCGGTGGCCGCATGCTAACGCTGGCATTTGGACCTTCGGTGGGGCTCCCTGTGGAGCCACAAAGCTTGTGAGAGGTGTGCCGAAATGGGTGCGGTGGCCGCATGCGAACGCTAGCATTTGGTCCTTCGGTGGGGCCCCCTATGGAGCCACGAAACGTGTGAGGGGTGTTCCAAGATGGGTGCGGTGGCAGCATGCGAACGCTGACGCTTGGGCCTTCGGTGGGGCTCCCTATGGAGCCACGAAGCGTGTGAGGGGTGTACTGAAAGGGCGATGACGATGATGACGATGACGATGACGATGATGATGATGATGATGATGATGATGATGATGATGATGATGATAATAATGATGATGATGATGATGATGATGATGATGATGATGACGACGATTATGATGATGATGATGATGATGATGATGATGATGACGATGATGACGATGATGATGATGATGATGATGATGATGATGATGATGACAGGAGGGGGGAAGGGGGCAGCGGGACGAGGAGAGAACGCGGGGACTGTCTCTTCAAAACGAGCACCCAACACCAAAGGATTGCTGAGAACAATGATGGCTGAGCTCGAATCGCGTGCGGATCGCGATGGGTCTCTGCCATGTAGTAAATCGTAAGAGTTCAATTCTCAGAGGGGGACTCACGATAGCCAGATCGTAGCTTGCTGCATACGCAGAAAATCAACCGTGAAGGGGTGCTGGTCTCTGTTGGTCTCGAGGTGCTGGGCCCGCGGATGGCATGGCACGCGACGCGGAGGCAGCGTTGCAGCCGCCGCCGCCTGCGAGATAAGATACACTGCGGGGACAGCAAGCGACCACAACCACATCGAGGAAACACTCTGGGAGGTGCCTCGCGCATGCCAAAAGTGGTCGGACACCGAAACCAGCTCCGTACTGGTCGATGTGGCGTCCCAGGACGGCCAAACCTACCACAACCACAACCAGAGTGCTCAATGTCGAGGCCAATGGATTCTCCCCGGAGGCGGCTCTCGCGAAAAATCCACTCAGCTGTGGTCGTGGTTCTTTGCTGTGCCCGGATACGTTGGCGCTGCGAGAGGCCTCACTAGCCGCAGGCCCCCAGGGGACTGCCCTGCCATCAAACTGCCTCCTGTTGGGCTGCCGCCCTGCTGCCTTTGGCACCTGCTGCCACGTGGCTCCTGACCCTGCAGCCCCTGTCCCCCCCGCTGCTGCCTGCCAGGGGAGCCCGCGGTGCCCAGCCGAAAAGGTGCCGCATCGTAAGACGAGGCCAGGACGAGGACACTTTGGACGAAGATGCATCGAGAATCTCTGAGATCCGGCGGCTCTGGAGGATGTCTCGGGCGCCGCGACCTTCTCAGAGCGTTCTGGAACGCTCTGAGAGCGTTCCGGCAGATCTATCCCGTTCCAGGTCCGTGGGTCGCTCATGCTTCAACATTTGCGATACCTCGGGGCGCCTTGGGGCCCTCGCGGGCTATCTGAGAGTCATGTTGGGGACATTCCGTCCGCTTTGAGTTGTGGATGCCCTCTGGGGGGCCGTCTTGGAGGCTTCTTGGGGGCCGTCTTGGAGGCCTTCTCAGAGCGTTCTGGAACGCTCTGAGAGCGTTCCGGAACGCTCTGGAAAGCTTGTCCTCGGCCCGGCCCCGTCCGACATCGGCCTCCCGTCCGCTCGGGGCAGCCATGGGACTCCCATCGGGTCGCCGCAGGGCGGCCAAGGGGGGGCCAAGAGGCCTCCAAGACGGCCCCCTCGAGGGCATCCACAACTCGAAGCGGACGGCATGTCCCCAGCATGACTCTCAGATAGCCCGCGAGGGCCCCAAGGCGCCCCGAGGTATCGCAAATATTGAGGCATGAGCGACCCACGGACCTGGAACGGGATAGATCTGCCAAGCCTGCGTGCTGCATCCTCGTCCTCGTCGTCGCCCTCCTCCTGCCTCCTCCTGCTCCTGCTGCTGCTCCTCCTCCTCCTCCTCCTCCTCCTCCTCCTCTTCCTCCTCCTCCTCCCC